GTAATCCTACTAATATATTATGGTTTTTTATTATCATCCCAATAATATATAAAAAAAATATTTTACCTGACAAACTATATATTAAAAATGCAGTTTATCCTATAAATTTACTTAAATACCCCTAATAAAATTATTTCTTATACTATTTCATTACGGTTATTTGAGTAAATTTATAAAATGGATTGCAATTTAACATATAGTTCATCCTGAAGAACTTGAATCTCATAATTATGTTCTCCGCTATGTTCTGAGTGATTAACCACTGATGACAATGAATATAATAAAAAGTGCTTGCTAATTGCCTAATTCTATGGGGAAAAGTTCCCATCTAGCATTTGTATAGAGTTAAGGAAGATGTATGCAAATGTCTTCCAATCCAAATTGCATGTTTTGCTTTTGTTTTGATCTTTTTCTCTGCTCTCTCCCTTCAACCTCTTATCTTCCCTTTGGAGATTTAAATATCACATAATGTCAGCCAGGCTATTTGTCATGATGATATAAATATAATATACATTGTCATGCACAATTCATTGGCCATTTTAACTTATGTCAACCCCGACTTTTTCTAGCGTACTGACTCTTCTACTTGTGTGAAGTTCTCGGAATTGTTCTTCTAGAAGAGTGACTTTGATGCATTCTTTCCCTCATATTGTCACATGCATGTTAGAAGATTGGTTGAAACATAAAGGTTAAGTCAATGTTCAGTGATTTTGGAATGAAGAGTTCTTCTCTTCTCTGACCTTTGATTCACTAGAAACAAGTGGTACTACTAGATTATTGATCTAGAACTTTTTCTTTTTAGTAAAAATGGTCTCATTATTGCTTAGAAGTTGATAATTTGATCACCAATGAGATGCTACCCAAAAATGACAAGTCATTGATAAGCAGACCATGAAGTGGTTTACATAGTTTTATTTTGTGTGAATATTATGTCAATGATTAATCTTGGTATTCTTTGAAGTTTGAACTATACTTGCTGATTGGTTGTGAGATCGGACGGGGCAGTTCCGTTATCTGCATTTATCTAATCTGTTTCTCTATTAAAAGAACAACAGAGTAGAAGGTGAAGTCCAAAAGTGTTCTGAGAAATTGAAGCTTTTAGTTGGTGATGATGCCTTGGAAGCTGGCTGTAGAAACTTGGTTGTAAGAGTTGGTTCCAAATTCATTATGTCAAATATCAAGCTATCTTTGGAGCCAGATGATGACAGATATTGCAGAGTGAAGGCAACTTGTCAACTGAGAAAGGGCAACATCTACTCTCCCCTCCATTTGAACTTGTGAAGAAACTGCTGATTTGAGCCTGCACATGCTAATCTTTCGCCTCGCAATTGTGGGTGCAATTCTCTACAAGGTTCCATCACTTATCACCATCACTCCATGAAGGTTCACTTTATTTTGAAGGAAGCTCATGAGAAATTACTCTCAAAGTGCAACGCTTATGGTCACCCGCGCTTACTTTTCTTTTTTTTTTTTTTGAACGGCTACAATTTGGGGTGGAGGAAAGGAGATATTAGCACGGCATTACTAAAGTTAAATCTTGGTACCAACTAAGGCATTGGGTGCACCAATTAATTGGCCTACAAGGCCTGGTGCCTTGCACTTTTGGCTACTCCTTTGCATGAAAATTAAAAACAAGTGAAGCATGTTTATATTGTTCTTCCCATACCCAAATGAAGACTTTTTAAAGACTTTAAATGAATTCTAAGATTATGTTATCGAAAAATGATTAGTATACTCTCTAATTTAACAAACATATTAATATTCATCAGTTCAGTTCTTAAATTCTATAATTGAAATTTTTTCTATTTTGAATTTAAATTTAAAAATAATAATTTTTTAATAAAAATATTATAAAGCATCTGG